AGATGTCAAACCGTCTGTGAATATACAACCCAGGGATCGACTCTTGATTAATTTCTTCTGCTTCAAATATTTATGTACAGGTGAAATATTTATGAAGAATTAAAAAAATATATTTATTCGGCTCGCGATGTTGCAACTAGACTTGCTGTGAATGCAACCTCTGATTTGGAGGTTGCAGTATAGACTTGTCATTTCTATTGCTTACAACTTCGAGAATGCCTCTTAATTAGTATAGACAGAAACCAGTATCTTTGTCAATAGCAGGGACACTGTAAGTATTTTGCATATTAAACATCCCTGCACTATTATCAACAAAAAGTAAAAAGCAACTTCGTAATCATTCCTCAATTGTGTCGTCTTTTGAAATATCTTTTGAGACAGTATCGTGTTTTGTGACTTTTATTTGGTGACGAAATATCATTTCGGTCACTTCTATGAGTCGTCATGGAACTTGCTACCTGACAATGGCACGAAAGTGTTAGCATTAACGGGGTATCGAGGTGTTTGACGAAAATGTCAAGTTGGACTATACGTAGAGATCGAAATTAAATGCAAAGAAGGCAATGTAGCTATGAACCCGTGAAGACCTGGGTTAGAATTGATCTTCAGTAATCCATGCTTGTCATAAGAGGCGACTAGCGGGATCGGGTGGTCAGGCTCGCTGATTTGGTTGACACATGTCATCGTATCCCAATAGATAGATGCTCATGCTGTTGATCCATGGACTGTCTGGTCCAGACTCGATTATTTACAGATCGCCGCCATGTAGCTGGAATATTGCTGAGTGCGGCCTAAAACTAAACTCAATCAATCAATCAATGAAGTTATGCGGTACCGAGTTGGAATAGTTCCATATAATTATATGTCGAGTTATATGACGTCTTCTATTAAACGGACTTGTCAACTGCAGATTACGCAATGACGTCATGGATAATTCAAACGTAAAGATCTATCGAGATATAATTTTTCGAAAATTATAACGGTCATGTTAAAAGATTCCTCGAGGTCGAGCTAACAGAAGCTGCATTTGTCGCGACATACTGTAACCGAGATCCCTCAGTGTGGAATCAATGCGAAGGAACAGTGTATGTCTGTACGCGCGACTGAATACATTCCAATACATGTACGTATGTATCAGTACGAGACTACAGCTAGTTGCTAGTAAATGTACCTTGTCTTGGAGCGCTGGTTGAATACCCCCGTCAGACCGGGGTGGCTGACACCCGGGTGATATATACCCTGGTTTATACCCGCATGAAGCCGGGGTTACCAAGCATATCGGAATTCGCTCAGCTTTTAAGATGAGGTGAGGTGAAATACGGTATGTCGGAGAGATTTTCATTCAAGCTGAGACATGCTTGTGTAATAGTGCTAGCCCCCTGAGATACAAATACATGGATACCTTGTCCAGATACACTACATAAATTCCAAATCAACTGCTCCGTGTTTTGTCGATGTCATCTTTCGAAACCAGGCAAGGAAACAACAATTACCATTTTTTTAAATATTTTGATTCGAACCACCGACCCATTTTCTGGGCAGACTGACGGACTTAGATTCATATGCTGTGTCTGATTGGAGAGCGCGTGCGCACACGCACAAACGCGGGCGGTGGGTAGCCTAGTGGTTAAAGCGTTTGCTCGTCACGCCGAAGACCGGGTTCGATTCCCCACGTGGGTACAATGTGTCAAGTCCATTTATGGTGTACCCCGCCGTGATATTGCTGGAATATTGCTAAAAGCGTTTTTAAGTCATACTCACTCACGCACTCACGCGCATACTCATGCACGTGGCTATTGAATCAACACCACGGTCACATATACGACAAATCATGTGGGCTCTCTACAGCGGATCACTACACACCATAGGGATGCAACTATGTTTGCTACGAATACAGCCCGTGAAGATTCGGGTTACAATTGGCCTTCAGTAACCCATGCTTGTAAGATGCGACTAACGGGATCGGGTGGTCAGACTCGCTGACTTGTTTGACAACATGTCATCGTATCCCAATTGCGTAGATCGATGCTCATGCTGTTGATCACTGGGTTATCTGGTCTAGACTCGATTATTTACAGACCGACGCCATAAAGCTGGAATATTGCGGCGTAAAACTAAATTTACTCATTACGAATACAATTAAGCGGCGCTGAATACGGTCGATAAGGAAATTAAACGTATGCTGCCCTTATCGTGTTCACACAATTAAATAGGAGTTCTTTTCAATCAGCAGTCAAGGATTATGACGAATAATGGCTTAATGCATAATGCATGGATAAGATTTACGTGGGATATTTTGCGATATATAATCGTCAGATTACAGAACATTCATAAGGGCATCATTTTATTTCTATGTATTTCACCTAGCCATCAAATTCTGAACATTGTTCGCTCGGTCGGGAAAAAAACTTAATAAAGACAAAATTATCCTATTAATGCTCTTGATTCTCATTTATTGTAATTTTTATTACAATTTCTCGCGTTCTTAAGATTTGTGGCAGCGTCTGATTATAAGATAAACATTTTATATGATGACGAAGCGGTTTGGTTTAGAATCCAGTCTAAAATTAGAAGGGTCGGCCGGTCGATGAGAAACTCAAATAAAATGTATGCCCTAATAATTATTGCATGTATAAGTCGAATTTGAATCGCGTGTATGTAGCTATACAAATGAGGAAACGTTTATGAATGAATGAATGAATGATTGAGGAAATGAATGAATGAATGAATGAATGAATGATAGAACCATGATCGATGTTTTGATATACAAATTCACTTCAGCTCAAACTATTTACACTTTACAGGAGGAGTTGAATGAAATTGCATTATTCAATAGTTGTGCTTGTTCACTGTGAATCAAACAGTAATCGGTGATGGTGTCCGGTATGATCCGTCTATCCTACTGGTGTGTTATATCTAAGTTTGCCTGCATTTCGGCGACTGTTTTAAACCTGGTAACAGGTAGATAACGTTTGTAATTTAACGGTCACATCCGTTTTCCAGATGTATACTTTTTTTCGCTCCGTCAATTTGTGATTTTCGATCATTCCTTGCTTTTTCGCCGTACCAGTATAATGATTGACAGATGACAGTGCGTTATGACGTGCCCCAGGGCAGCATCAACCAACAAGATTAAAGATTTATGTGTGCTGGATTACGTATGTCTGATAGGTTTTATTACTGACGTAACGTTTGCGTTCAAATAGTTAAGCTTTTTACACAGTTCATTTGTGCTGTCTGTGCACGTTGAACCAATTTTATATGTTATCGAAATGGGACGTTATATATGTTACTGACATAGCACAGTGTCATCATTGATGTTAATTCATCCATCATTTAAATCTCTGGGTGCGGATAGCAAAATGCTTCTTTTGAGGCATACCGTGGCATCCTTATGTGGGGGGCACAGGTGACCGCCTCCGTGGTGTAGTGGTTAGAGCGTCTGCCCGGAGTGCGGAAGTTCGCGGGTTCGATCCCTGACCGCGTCATACCAAAAGACGTTAAATTATGGTACTTGTTGGTCCCTGCCTGGCGCCCGGCATTAATGGGTACAACAAGGACTGGTCGGCTCGGAGTCAGTATAATGTGTCTAAGAGGGGTATTCATGCTTCACTGCGGCATGGTATCTCAGTGGGCTAGCACTATAAAACCAGCTTAAGTCTGGGCTGGTACAAACAGACACACATACACACGCATGCATGTCGTCATATGAACGAAACATTCTCAAGTAAGACGTTAAAACCCCATGTTCACCTCACCTCACTATAGTCTCTAGAGCGCATGAGCATTTATAATGCGAAAAACATGACAAAACGTGCTTTAAGATATAAACGAATCCTCTTTTGACAGGGATGAATTTTGTTTAATAATTCCATGAAAAACAAACCCCTTATATCATATCAAGTGTATATTCAAACAAGGACATACCTCATTATCCCTATTAAACGTTGGTTAGTATACATGAACACATACTGTAAGTAAACAATCACATGTGGTAGGATTCGAGAATGTGGTTGAATGGAGAACCGTTTGGCTATGCTTTAAAAGATCTACATGCAGGTGGTTACACTAAACACAACCACAAAACACATGTGGGAGGCACTTAGTGTACATCATCGGAGGGTGTGTGGGGTAGCCGGGTGGTTAAAGTGTTTGCTTCTCACACTGAAGACCCAGGTTCGATTCCCCACATGGGTACAATGTGTGAAGCCCATTTCTGGTGTCCCCCGCCGTGATATTGCTGGAATATTGCTAAATGCGGTGTAAAACCAAACTCACTCAGTCATCGGAGGAATGACACTATATGGAGGTACAATTATCGTTTGTCAGTTGTGGTACTGTTGTTGGTTGACACGTACTCCGCAATTGCAATTATTTAATGCTTTGGGCGTGTTTTATACCTGGACGCGTTTATAATTTTTAGTTTGCTTAAAAAAAAGGATGCAATGTTTAGGAGATCTGTGTATAATAAATCAGATTCGGTATTTTTAATTATCACTGAAACGCCCTACTTCAAACAGATGTTCTCACAACGGATAGAAAGCTTGTGTCAACTTTATCATTACACGGTTTAAAGTCACACAAATGCGGAATTAAGTCGTACATCTGTAATCTGTTTTAAAAGCAAGCGTTCCCGCTGAAGTATTCCAGGAAAGCTATTTGTTCGCGTCGGTCTGTAAATCGATTAAAAATATTTGCTCTTCTTATCAGAGTTAAACACAAAATTTGCAATTCATAGTTTTCAGTCAACATCACACACCATGGAGTGGTCCAATTAGCAAGGTGAACCTAAAAATGAAGACAATTTCTACCTCGTTGACATTCCCAGTTGGACACTAGTTTCAATTAAATCAACATTCAGTCATAACAAATGTGTTTTCCGGATGACAAGGTAATTTGTTTACCGACTGCATCACGTGCTGGAGCAGTACACGCTGTCAAACAGGCCAAATCGATAAATTCAGTTGCAACGGACAAGATGTCTGACTTTCTCTACCTACCTGAATACATGGCCGTCTCGGTCAATTACGAAAAATCCCCTATCGTCTCGGTAGCAGTACTGGTTCCCAGTGGCTATTCTCCATAAAACTGTTCCTTGATGCAACGACAGAGTTGATCTTAGCGTCGTGTAAAAGGTGCCCCCGACATTCAAGCGCATCACCTTGTCGTTTGAACGGGACATTTTGTTTTCGTTTTCTTGTCGTCTGCTGTCTGTCGTCTGCTTGGTAATAGCCTTAATTCATGATATCGCAACAGGAATCCGTGGCCCGGGGATGTTCACAGTTGTTCTCACTGGCTATTTGTCGTCTGTAAGGCTGATAGCTGTACATACAAACGCGTGGCTACTTCCAATGATTATGACGCCCTCACAATCCCGATATAGCGGGACAGGTGTCTATAACGGGGAGGGTCTCCACCGATGCGCTGCTCGGCTGTTTCCGTTGATCGATGGAGGGCGGAATAATTAAATATTCATGCTCGGGGCTCAGGTGTTGTATTCATCGGCCCTAAACAGGGATTGCTGTTATACAGGCCATGCGTCATGCATCGCGGACGAGGGAATATGTCAACAGAATTTCTCCACCTAGAACATTAGAGTATCAACACTTACACCACACATTCTTTCAAGGAAAAAGGTATAATTGCCATATTTGGCTTTTTAAAATACGTTTCATGATATCCATAAGCCGACCGCCACCAAAAGTGTTCTGTCTCTTAATATTTCTTCACGACAACCATTTTAAGCACTGTTATACAATGTCCATTTTAGATAATGTTACAGCTCTTCAATGTGGTCAGCATGGCCTTGATCCGGTCACTTCACAACTCGGACACAGGCGGCCAAGGGTAGCAAAGTCGCTTTTTCAGATTACATTCATGAGCGTATAGAATTAATCTCTTAACAACTGGCACCGTAACGACTGAATAATATCAGCAGTTAAACCTGGCCCCGCTTGCACAAATGGACATTAGCGTTACGACGGTTTAACGCCAGTATTAAACTGTGGGTTCAGAACGATCCCCTAAATCCATTAAATTCAGTTATGCATGAGGTTGAACAAAACAATTCTGTTTGGAAAGACTCGACCTTAAGATAATGACGATTTGAAGATTTATCGTGAGTTTCCGACATAATGGCGTATTTCGCACTCGGTCGACATCATCATCATCATCATCATCATCATCATCATCATCATCACATCACACAGTTTTACGTCGGGTTCAGGGTGTAACCTACACGGTCGAAGAAGATATAGGCTGACACAGTTGAGTTGGGTATAAGTACAGCTTGATAGCAATCAGAAGGGATAGTATAGGTTCACAGTGTTGGGAAGGGTATTAGTGACCGTTCGTAAATTAAGGCTAGGGGTGTGGTGATGATGGTTTTTATAGAGAAGCATGTACAATGTGGATCCCCCCACCCCCCTAAAATTTATGTACAAAATAAGTGCCCCTTCCCCCTGCATGTCATATACAAAATCAAGTACCTCCCCACCCTCTCCTTCCCTTAATTTCTAAGCATAATTTTAAACATAATGTACAAAATTGCTGCCACCCCAGCTCCCAGAACCCCCACCCTCTCTCTCTCTCTCTCCATAAAATCATGGCCCCGTGGCTAGTAAAAATCCAGTCGAGCCAGAAAATATGCACAGTCGCTGGCCCGACTGGCTAGTGAATTTTCATAGGGACATTTTGTAAATATATCACTCTCTCCGACTTGTTAAGCTATAACACATTTTTTAATCATGCCAGATTATGGCCTGATAAAAACGTTCATCATGTTAGCAGCTTAATGATGAAACCCATGTCTACATTCAAATTTCGGGCTAGTGAATTATTTTTTGGGCCAGTTACTTTCAGCGATAGCTATCCCGACAAGCTAGCAAAATTTGGAAACTATTTCGCACACTGTAACCCTACCCCCCCACCCCAGCAGAGCCCCCTTCCTCCTTGGCGCGCACGCGCCATCACGCACGCACGCACGCACGCACACACACACACGCGCTTCTATTAGTAATCCATTAACTCAGTTTCTTTTAATCAATATTTTTTCGTAACTAATTACATATGTTATGTTGAAGAGCACCAAATTATCGCACATGTGTAGCTTTAATTGTAATGAAAATCATGTACAAGAAACATGTACAAGAAACAAAAACGAGAACAGTGTAAGTAAAACGAAGTCTCCAATTGAGTAGACTTGCTCAAAATACCCATATGCACCCAACTGAGTTGTTGATGCACCGATTTGGCATTGCTGTTATTTTCTGTATTTTTAACCCAAACCAATAAGCACATGCACAGTGCTTACAGGTCAATTATTAGAAGAGGTTGCAAATATTGCCTCCGGTCCTGCTACAGTTAAGGGAAGCAACTCTGCACAGCGAAATACTACTACTGGGTCAGCCACGACAAAAAAAGATACAGCTGAACACATATCTGAACTCTGAAAAGTGAACAAGAAATTTGAAGTGCCTGATATTAAAATATGTTTACGAGGTGATATCCAAACTGAAACAGAGTAAATCAGAAATCCGTTCACACATGACTACATACTGAAATCAGTAAATGATCAAACATGATCAGTGAATGATCAACACATTGTGTCCGAACACACGGGTATTTAAAAGACACATCGCACTTGGTCAAATAATGGGGTGCATTGTGGGCGAGCTGGCTAAGGCTAAGGCTAGTGATCCAGCGAGCTTGAGGTGACGGGATCGGGCCCACCTGTGTCCGGGTATAAAAACCTTGGAGTCAACTTTGCGTGCAGACTCTTTCAGTGTTGTCACAACCCTTCTGTACAATAAATACATACATACATACATACATACATACATACATACATACATACATACATACATACATACATACATACATACATACATACATACATACATACATACATACAAATACTTGTATAGCGCCAATATCCGTAATCCGCTCAAAGGCGCTCTGGCTCTAAGATGGTCTAGGTATCACATAGAGTTCAAATGCTTCAGCAAAGAGACACGTCTTCAGATTTGATTTAAAAACAGCTAAGTCTGGTTGTGTTCTGAGGTGAGATGGAAGATTGTTCCAGAGATGAGGGCCAGTCGTCTCGAGTGACCTGTCACCATATGTTTTTGTCCTAGTCACAGGAATTGTCAAAAGACACTGGTCATTTGATCGGAGGGAACGTACAGGAGTATAACGGTGGAACAGAGCACAGAGGTACTGAGGTGCTAGACCATGTAAACTTTTGAAAACAAGGAGTAGAGTTTTATATTTTATGCGGTAGTGGACGGGAAGCCAATGAAGTGAGTGAAGAACGGGAGTAATGTGGTCTGATTTCTTTGACAGAGAGACCACTCTGGCTGCAGTATTCTGCACCTTCTGAAGCAGGTGTATAAGATTATTTGGGAGGCCCACAAGAAGCGCATTACAGTAGTCAAGACGAGATGTTACATATGCCTGAACAAGAGATGCTGTAGTCTTGACGTCCAGGTATCGTCGAATCATGCCGATGTTGCGAATGTGGTAGTACGCCCTTCTACAGATGTTATTTACGTGTGGCTCCATGGACAGTGAAGAATCAAAAATAACTTCCAAGTTTCGCACCTCATGGTTTGGCTGAATCTCACACTGGCCGATGCTGAATTTAGGAAGAGAGAGACTGGGTTGGAGACGCTTAGGGTGGAAAACTATGAGTTCAGTTTTATCATCATTTAGTTTGAGGTAGTGTGACGACATCCAGATTTTGATGCAGCTGACACACTCTTCAATGGTGAGAAATGAAGACACAGCTGATGAGGAAAGTAAGGGTTTGAATGATATGTAAATTTGAGTGTCGTCAGCATATAAATGCAGTCCAAGGTTGAAGGATCTGACGATATCACCTAGAGGAGAAGTATAAATAGTGAAAAGTAGAGGTCCAAGAACCGATCCCTGGGGCACGCCATAAGCAAGATCCTTAGGACTGGAGATGTGACCATCAATGATCACCGATTGATGTCTATCTGCTATGTATGACTCAAACCACTGAAGAGCAGTTCCTCTAATACCCATCCTGGTCTCAAGTGTATGCATCAGAATAGTATGGTCGATAGTATCGAAGGCACTACTCAAATCAAGTAGAACCAATACTGCAGCACCATCTTTCTCTCAGTATGTCATTGTGCACTTTAACGAGTGCGGTTTCCGTGGAGTGGAAATTCCGGTATGCTGATTGCATGACTTCGAAACACCCATTTAAGGTCATGTGTTCCTTGAGTCTTGTTGTGACCACACGCTCAATCACTTTTGAGGTGAATGGTAAATTTGTGACTGGCCGATAATTTTTCAAGAGCTCTTGATCTAAACCTTTCTTCTTCAGGAGTGGAGTTACAACTCCATTTTTCAATGTATCCGGCATCATACCTTCCTTTCTAATAACAAGACACAACTCCGTGCACTTAAAAGAACCCACGAATACGTTGGTATAATACCAGACAGTGGCCACATAAATACGTGCAAACACCTGACATCCAATGATGGAGAGGAAAAATAAAGATCTGGATATTGGCGTTATATAAATATGTATAAATAAATAAATTAAATAAATAAATAAAATGATTTTATACGTAAGATGTCCTACAAATAATGTCAGTACATTCGCAATGTCCAGAATAATGTTAAATAAACACATGTGATTCGAACCCACACCTAATCGCCAGGACACATAGCCAGCCGTCTAACCCACTCATCCTCCGCGGCTTCCACAAAAAATGAATTCGGACAACTGGTGGTATGTATCCTCTGACAAGCGTAAATTGGCACAGCTGCCAAAAGCTATGAATAAAGCTATTAAAAAAGTGGTCAAAGGTAACATATGTTACATTTGGGATTACACTTTCTAAGTGTCAACCCAACAAAAGTACTATAATATTTACTTTACATGTCACCACTTTCTAAATGGCATTGTGTCTTCAATGTTAAATATAGTCTGTCTCGTTTTTTTAATTCATAAAGTTCTCAAAAATCGATGTTTGTTGAGCACGTCTCGAACGAGCAAGTCGGTCCTAGTCCATTCGTAACTACTCGCCTCTTTCCGTGACCTCCAAGAAGACTCGTACATGTATAGTACACTATTATCGCCAAGAATCGTGGCAAACCAATCAAATTGCGCGTAGTAAAATTAAAATGAGGTCAAATAGTTTCTTTGCGATTATCGATTTTCTTTATTATTTCCGTGATTGTACAATCATCTTGTTACTGATATTTGAATACGACATAAGTAACATATATTTACGTGACTTTCGTGTTGTATTATGAATTAATTGTTGTTTTCTAGGAGTTGCCATGTTTGGAAATTCAGAGTTGTCTTTCCTTGGAAATAGTCCCAGACTATGTTCATCTCCGTGCCCGTTTGTGATTATGCCCAGTCGTGAACATGAGGGGTACGATATGCCATCAGGCTTGCGGAATGACACGCGTAATTACGAATGGGGTCCCAGTCATGTGAGAACCAGGAGCAGACAACTCTAAATTCCCTCTACAACCATCTCGGAAGCGCCACTTGTTGCTGTCGACCGATCTTCAAAACTGAATACAATACCACATTGATATTTTCACCCGAACCCGTTAGTCGCCTCTTACGACAAGCACGCGTTACTGAAGATCAATTCTAACCCGGACCTTCACGGGTCTCAATTAACGAAGCAATGAGGGAACATGCATAATTCAGGAAAAAACAGGGGGCAGGGTAGCCTAGTGGTTGAAGCGTTCGCTTGTCACGCTGAAGACCTGGGTTCGATTCCCCATATGGGTACAATGTGTGAAGCCCATATCTGGTGTCCCCAGCAAAGATATTGCTGGAATATTGCTCAAAGTGGCGTAAAACTAAACTCACTCAATCAGGGAAAACAGACACGAACCACAGTAACACCGCCCCAGCAGTCGGGGTTTACATCCTACTTCCGTGAAAATAGGAAACTGACAGGTTACAAACACGAATAATCGTGAAACACAACGCCGACTCGTCTGTAGATCAGACACAACGGCATTGGGCCACATTTTATAGGTTTCCACAAGACAATTAAGTAGTTCCAACAGGCTCAATGCATTCCACGTAGAACACAGTAAATGTTGAACAATCTTGACCATGAATCTGATGACGTCATTTCCTTCCGCAACATCCCGGAACAGTTAGCAGTATATTCAGATTATGATTCGCTTGACATCCAATCCAGCAATACTGAAGTAAATATATTTGCTTCAGGGGAAAAATTTGAAATGTTACGAGATTCAAACACATCAGACAATGTTTTGCGAACATGAATATTGCATATTCCACACTGGCCTTAAGTATAGTCAATGCACAACCTTTGGTAATTTCATTTTGTATTCAACACACATATAGGGCCCTTTCGAATGGGCTCATGGTTGTCAGTTGACAGTAAGGAACCGATAATCCTTGCAGGAATAACAAATTTCCGATCTAGCCATCCCCAAATTAGCCAACTATTACGACAGTCAACAGCTGTGACAGCAAAGCATGGTTGTACACTTGGTCAGGTCAAGTAAAGTCATGTTTGGCGGTCTCGCCATTTGGAACCAGAATAAACGCTTGCCACCGGAAATCCGGTACCGGAAGTAAGCTGGGCCCCGTCTCGCCACACTCCGGCACAGCGATGACTTACATAACATCACTGCCACAGGCTATTTTGATATCACGTGACCGGACTTTTCTCTTGTTTGTAATCAAACGCGCATATTCATAATAAGAAGAGACTGGACTCACGAAAGCTTTTCAGCGCTCTTTTCATAATGTTTTACATTGTTACATATATATTCTTCCACAACTTCGACAGTTAGGTCTATGACAGTACGTATTTAGATATCAAACTGGCTGCATCGTTTGCTCTCCGTCGGCTTCGATGACAGCACGTGGAGCCGTACAACCTATGTAAACAAAGGATCGCTACGCAAATCGAAATAGTGTTACATGTTTTTGGATATTTTCTCAGTGAAACGAAACCATTCTATTAAAGATGTTTAGTTAGATGTGTAGACTCGTCAAAAATAAAAGAGTAAAAGAAATCTGTACATTATATTGAATGGACATTGCAAGATGTGACGAATCGTCACATTTTTCTGGCCTGTGGCAGAGGTACTATGCTGGCTTGCCGCATGGAACTCTGGGTAGGAGAGTGCCGTCTCGCATATCGCAAGGTGGCATGCGCAAAGGGAGCCGGGAACCAGCTTAGTACCGGAAGTAGTGACTCCGAGACTTACAGACCTCATTGCCTTATTTTCTGATTAGCAGAGACGCTGTTATATCGTGTATAGAGGGATGAGCAAACATGTATATGCCGTCTTCTCTTTTTAAATACGATCCTATCAGGTGATTAGCAGCCGATAAACAGTCATACCCTGCATAATCATCCTCATCATCATCCAACTCCTTTTCCGTCACCTTTCCATTCCGCTTGAGGATTGCCATAAACAACCGGCGCTTCGCCTTGTCCTGTATAACCTTTCTTATAGTCTGGTTAAGGAAATCCACAGGTTTGGTAAAATATTCTTCTGCAGATATCTTGTTGTCATGGTGATACGCCGCAATGAACAGTTTACAAATATAGGGAAACCCATAGGGGCAGTTTGTCTGACATATGGCCTTGACCTTTTCATGATCAAAAGCCATACGCCTCAACTCGGGCACCGCATTCCAAATTTGTATTTTTTCATCAACATCTCTCCCCGACGAAATATGGACAGTGTTTTCATCGTGGAACATAAATGTCGTCAGTCTTCCTAAATCAGACGAGGCCGACTGTAGTACGTAATCCCGACCAACAAACAGAACTGTTACCATTTTGCGTCTTTGACCTGTATTTGTCTTATTGAAGGAGATAGGATCCAGAAGTGGACGAAGAACTTGCCTCCACATGGACCATTCCACAACGCTGAATTCCAAGTCTCCCAAAATATCGTCCAGCATGATAAGAGGCCGAGAACAGGTCATCGTGACATCGGAGAACTCGGAAGGTGACTCAACCTGGAAGACCTGTCTCCCCTTATCGAGCTGGTCTTGGAGAGTCATGTACGCTACAGTGGACTTCCCTTCTCCTGGTGGTCCTTGGATAGTGACCCAAGAGGCTCCTTTGTCCAGTGTGTCCCTCACCTTCTTGAAAACCCCAGTCTCCACCGTATTTTCCGTCCATGCCCGAATCCTCGCCTCGGTTCTTTCTGTAACATAATCCCGAGGAGCTAGAGAACCTATTGATTTTATAAGTTTGACTTTCAATTGAAATTAAGTTCTTGTTAAGCTAGAGACATCACATCCAAAACAAGAACTGTCCTGCATTTCGTTTGGACTCATAGAACATTTATCCATGATTATATTTTGTAGCATATGTTGTGATTAAATTAATGTTTAAAAGATAATATTGGTGTAATATCAGCTACTGATGAGTGTCTTTGATATCTTGTCTTTCAATATCAAACTGAAATAATCGAATCTGGACTAGACAATCCAGTGATTGAACATGGAATCATATTATAGACATTCGCAGTTGGGATAACATGGCATGATCAACTGAGTCTGAGACTGGCACCCGATCCCGTTAGTTCTGTATTTATAATATAGCTCTAAAAATGGTTGGAATAAAAGACTGGCACTTAATCATATTCCAGCTATATGACGGCGATCTGCAAATAACCTATCAGTAATCCTTTAAGGGACACGGGTTTTTTCATCAACTAATGATCTTAATGTTTCAAGCTTACTAGCTTACAGTAGCTTACATGTTGAGCGTATCATTTTGAAATTTCAAGAATGTGATCTTGGAATTTCAATCTTTTAAATATCTTGAAATGTCTAGACCATTGTCTTGAACATTCTGCTTAGCATCTTGAAATTTCAAGAAAAATCTTACAATACGAATGGCCCTAAAGGCTTCCGTAGAACTGTTCACTTACTTCGTATTTTCTGTACAAGTGTTAGTGGGGTCTTCTCGTCCACCTGACCAGGAGCAGGTTTACCAATGTTCTGAGTTCCACCAACGTTCAGGTTCTTGGCTTTGGGAACAACCACCTGCTGCTCCATCTTGATGAAGTTGTACTGGACAGTTCCTGAGGGAGTGAGTGAGAATGGTTTTACGCCGCTTTTAGCAATATTCCAGCAACAATATGACAAGGGACACCGGAAATGGGCTTCACATATTGTACCCATGTGGGAGTCGAACTAGGGTCTTTGTCGTGTCGAGCGAATGCTTTAACCACTCGGCTACCCCACCCTGGAGTGAGTGAGTGAGTTAATATTTAATGTAACATCGGCAATATCTCAGCCATATCATGCCGAAAACAATGTATGAAATAAAGATGAATACATTTTGAAGATTAAAACCTGTCGACGATCGACAGTAAAACTAATAGAGTATCACAGGTAGTAAGTTAATAATAGAATGTTATTATAAAATACATATCACTATAGAGAACAATACAATATAACAATACAATATAAAAACGGGCTAATGATCACCAGCAACTGAAGGTAGATCACCATACTAGGGACCATGGGGACTTACAGTACTTTTGCTACCTGGGTGGACCGTAGCTGAATTTATATCATACCTTCAGTCTAATGTAGCCAAACAATAAAAGATCATATATTCTGCGATTAAAACCATATAGTATAAAAAATACCTTCAAAGAGATGTGACTTACATACTCCACCCTGGAGTGAGAGTTTGAATGAGTAGTGGGTGAGTGAGTGATTGGAAGGGATTGTAGGAGGACAGCTAGTGTCTGAGTGAGATACTTACCTTGATCATCCTGGTTGACCAAATTACCATGGCCATCTCAACTACCATGATCAAATCTAAATCACGCTGCTCCTGCAAATACTAACCCGATCAAACTAATTATACAAATGACCATGTCCCCCGCCGTGATATTGCTGGAATATTGCTAAAAGCGGCGTAAAACCATACTCACTCACTCACAAATGACCATGATCTTGTAAATACTAACCTGATC